TGTAGTGGGTGTGGGGGGTGTAGTGGTGTGTTGTGGGGGTGTAGTGGAGTGTTGTGGGGGTGTAGTGGAGTGTGGTGGGGGTGTAGTGGTGTGTTGTGGGGTGTGTAGTGGTGTGTTGTGGGGGTGTAGTGGTGTGTTGTGGGGGTTGTAGTGGAGTGTGGTGGGGGTGTAGTGGTGTGTTGTGGGGGTGTAGTGGTGTGTTGTGGGGGTGTAGTGGTGTGTTGTGGGGGGTGTTGTGTGGGTGTGTGGTGGGGTGTGTGGAGTGTGTTGTGGGGGTGTTGTGTGGGTGTGGTTGGGGGGGTGTAGTGGAGTGTTGTGGGGGTGTAGTGTGTGTGTTGTGGGGGTGTAGTGGTGTGTTGTGGGGGTGTAGTGGTGTGTTGTGGGGGTGTAGTGGAGTGTGTGGGGGTGTAGTGGTGTGTTGTGGGGGTGTAGTGGGTGTTGTGGGGGTTGTAGTGGATGTGTGGTGGGGGTGTAGTGTGTGTTGTGGGGGTGTAGTGGTGTGTTGTGGGGGTGTAGTGGTGTGTTGTGGGGGTGTAGTGGTGTGTTGTGGGGTGTAGTGGGTTGGTGGGGGTTTGTTTGTGTGTGTTTGGGGGGGTGTAGTGGAGTGTGGTGGGGGTGTGTTTGGTGGGGTTGTAGTGGTGTGTTGTGGGGGTGTTAGTGGTGTGTTGTGGGGGTGTAGTGGTGTGTTGTGGGGGTGTAGTGGAGTGTTGGTGGGGGTTTAGTGGTGTGTGTGGGGGGTGTAGTGGTGTGTTGTGGGGGTGTAGTGGTGTGTTGTGGGGGTGTAGTGGAGTGTTGTGGGTTTTGGTGGGGGGTGTAGTGGTGTGTTGTGGGGTGTAGTGGTGTGTTGTGGGGTTGGTAGTGGTGTGTTGTGGGGGTGTAGTGGAGTGTTGTGGGGGTGTAGTGGTGTGTTGTGGGGGTATAGTGGTGTGTTGTGGGGGTGTAGTGGAGTGTGGTGGGGGTGTAGTGGTGTGTTGTGGGGGTGTAGTGGAGTGTGGTGGGGGTGTAGTGGTGTGTGGTGGGGGTGAGAGGTTGTGGTAAAGGGTTGGGAGGGTATGTATAAATAGGTGTGAGGCTCTCTTGTGGTGAGGAGACCAAGTTTCGTACTCTCCTTTGTACTCTGATATGTAATTGTTTCTTGTCTTGTACTCTCCCTCGTAAGTCCTTTTATAATCCGTCATGTTACTTCTCTTGTAAACAGATACGTAATTTCGCTTGTAATTCCTTATATATAATTCATCTTGTATTTCTGCATGCTATCATGCAATTCTTTAATTTGTATTTTGCCTTGTTAGTCTTCTACGCTATGCACTGCCTTATAATTACTTGCAACACTGTACTCCTACTTGTACTCTGCTGTGGTGTTTACGTTGGACTGCGTGTTGCAAGTACCAATAACTTAGTGATCTGGGGCCGGACAGAGAACCATCAACACAGTCAGGTATGTAGACCTAAAGTTACATGAAGTTGGTTACAGGGAGCATCCTGCCCAGGGTCCAGTCCCGGACCAGACCTCCCTCTTGACAGCCTGATCAACCAGGCTGTTGATAATCAGTGTTGTTTATCTAGACGAAATTTACAAATGACCATGTGTAATTATTGTTGACTTCGTAGGGAGGGAGATTCAGTTATTCTTATTGAAAATATTCTTAGCAGAGGTAGACAGTACCTTTCTGCCTCCCTGGTACTTACCTGGTTGTAATACCAGGGCACATGTCCTCGCAGCTCGGTCTCTGACCAGACCTCCTGATTGATTGCCTAGTCATCCAGAAATATAAGGCACTTCCTGAGCATTATTTTCTGGACATTTGCGAACTATTGTTTAGAGAAGCTCCCGGGACTTTAGACATACCACAACAAATAACCTAAAGAAAGCGAGGAACCAAGTTTTCCTTGTATGCGGAGATACAATCTCGAGATCAGTAAGATTTTCAGCCAAATCTCACAATCCCTTTGCCACTTTAACTGTAAATTGTTAGGGCTTGATACAGATCTCCGTATGTTACATTGTTGATACAGGTCCCGGTGTGCTAGCCTCATTGTTGATGTTTGATACAGTTAACGAAGACAAGAAGCGGCACAAAGACTAGAACAAACTGGTCTTACAAGTGTCTGCTCGAGTTCAACCAGGACGGAAGTGACTGTTATTTCATTCCTCGGAAAAATTCATCTCACACGTTTCTTTGTTATATGATGACCCGTTCAGTAGTGCGCTTAGCATTATAGATTATTTGTTTATGTGAAGCGCTAAATCCATGTGGATCTTTCCGGGTAATGGATCTGTAGAGAGGACGCGTCAAGAAAGAACCGCTGGTGTGTGGCTAGAGATGGTGGTGTCCTCTAGCACAGATGCAAATCTGGTAGCTGTTAGCACTCAGTTGTGTGCGTGCCTCACTCATTATTCTGTAAGCCACTCCAGTCATCGTACATAAATAGGGACTTGGGGAAGTAGGCGTTGCACCTCACCTCACCAGAGGCGTAAATAAACAGGGGGTAACACCATCAGCTTCAGCATGACTGCTTGATGTATCTTCGTGAATCTAAACAGTGACTCACTTGAGACAATTTGCACCACGTATGTGTGACGAGTACTCGTGTATGCAGCACCAGCGTGAAGCCCGCACATTGTTAGGCACATAGAAGCTAGAGGAAGTAGGCAGATATGCCATCAGAATTATTCCGGACCAAATGGATACGATCAGCAGTGGAAGGCTATTAGAGTTGAACCGTGTCACTGGGAAAGCCGTGATGTGTGGGTGGTGTTGGAGGCCTGAGTAACATCTTGATGTTTCATTATTTATATATAGGAAAGGAACTGGCATAGATTCCGGCACTGGTGTTATCTTCAAAATCCTGTACTGGATATCTCATGGTTTTGGATGGGAGGACTGTTATATTGTAGCACTTTTCTTGAGAGCCTGCATGACTATGTCAGGTATATTTCCAGTAGGAATAAGACATTTGTGAAGTTCTGGATAACGTGTAGAGGAAGATGCAATATGGAGAAGAATTCATGAATGATGACACATTCTTCAGGAAATTCAGAGCTGCAAGGTCTGTGCTGTGGCCTTTCGAGGAGAATCCGGTTATGTAAATGAGACGCGTGCAACGTTAGGATACTTTTATAACCATACGTTTCGCCCACTATGGGTTTCATCATTGGAGTGATAAAGCCCCTGGTGAGCGAAACATATCCACATTACGGTAGCCTAACATGGCCCATGTGTCTCATTTACAAGTCTTATATTCCAGTTTCTAAAGTGGATCCAGTATGTTTTGATCTAGTTTGATCATTTGGATGACCAGGAATGATAATGTGTTCATTTTCTTCTTCACTCTTAAATTAGGTAGGTAGATCCACTGTACTATTTAGGTTGTTTTTCCAGATTGTCCAGAACGTCGTCCATGCAACATAGCTAAGTGATGAACATGATGATGATAATGTAGAAAGTTTCATTTTCAAAGCTTTCAATGAAGAGGCTAAGACAGCAGTCATGGGTGATCCCATAGCCATGCCAAAAATTTGCCTACTTGAAACGTCATTGAAAAAGAAATAATTAAAATTGACGCAGAATTGACTGACATTATTTCTTTATGTAGTTTCGTGTCATTGTTTGATCTAATGTTTCTAAATAGCAAGTTTGTATTCTATATATTTTTGTCTTTGTCGACATATCCTCAGGCATTAGGTCCCTAAACCTACCTTATCCTCCAAAACTCCATGAAATAACTCCAGAAACTGGTCACAGGTATGAGTGGAATGCAGCTCTGTAAAAAAGTTAGTGTAACGGTATTAGAATGAATTTATCAATCCATTTATATAAGATTTTGGTCTCCCAGTGTCATGAAATCTGGTGGTGAGATTATTACAGGATATAGAGAGGAGGACTGCATTAAACAAGCATAGTTAAAGATGATTAAAATGCCCTTACAGGCATTCAGATTATTGAGCATAAAGAGTGGAGGTTCACTACTCTTGGGTCTGCTAATAGACATACTTGTACTCGCTGAGTTATTTACCTGGCGTCCGGATATGTGTCAGCTACACTGCTTTGCCCTGCGTAAATAAATGGGTAAATTTAGCGGGTAGTAGGAGCAAAGTGTATTGTGTTAAATATAGGTGCGAGGTAGCTGGCACTGTGCCTGGCTCACCAGGGAGGGTGATGAAGCGTGTGGCACTCTCCCAGCTAGTGTGCTTTTGGCCTCACAACTGATCACAAAAAATCTTTTTCGCCTCACAACTCATCACAAAAAATCTTTCTCATCTTAAAACTGTGTAATGATATTTTGACACTTTCCTGAGTAGGTAATAAGAAGTTAAATAAGTGCCCACAACTTGAGGGAAATGGACACAAATTCATTCACTTTGGACACCTATAAACCCAGTGTAAGATAGGGACACCCTGGACACAATAAGAGAACATTGTATCAACATCCATGATCTCAGACTATTCAGCATCTTACCAGGAAGATATCAGAAACACAGCTGGAACAAGTGAAGTCTTGAAGAGGAAATTAAACAAGTACCTCTGCCAAGTGTCGATCAACCAGGCTGCGAATGGACATGTGGTCCAGCGGACCACCACCAGCAACAGCCTGGTTGACCAGGCTAGCACCAGACGAGCCTGGCTCATGGCCGGACTCCAAACGTTCTATGACTTGCAGGTTTAGCGCTTTAAGATAATGTTGCTGTTTTCGTAGTTGCTACAGTGAAAATATCTTCTAATGTCGCTCTTGTTTACATTGTTATTGATGTGAAGATGAGACGAGTTTAATTTCCTATTTTCTTTAACAGCGAGAACGTACGCGTTTTAGATAACATCCCGTTTTCTTTCAAACATTTATTTGCTATTTGCATTTCCCGTTATCTGTAGCGGGTAGTTACTCACGCTTTAGATTTCCTGTTTTCCTGAAGAGGTGGGTACTTGTTTTCCCTCTTCATTTCCCGTGTTCTTCAAAGCAGTTACTGGTTCTTCAATAATAGTTCCCGTTTTCTTGCACAGGGTGTTTCGTCATCAGCACACACTGCGTCAGCCAGTGAGGAGCCCAGACCAACAGAGGAGGCGGAGCCTTGCAAAGATGATGACAAGTAAGTTGATTTTTAAAGTATATTATAACTGTGTGGCAGTGAAGTATGTTATAATCCCTATTAAAGTATATTTGTGTTGCAACATTTGGTGTTTTTTTAAGGTTTGAAAATTGAAACATGGCTTCAAGAATCCGCAGAGTTGTGTGACCCTGTCATGGCTGCGTGGGAGTGCCACATACTTTGTACATAACAAAGAAGGAGCAGTGCAGCAGGCCTGCTGGCCCATACTTGGCAGGTCCAAGTCACACCCACTCAAGAAGAGTTCAGTTCCATGGAGCTGAACTCTTCTCCAGGTTGAGGGACTGACCACTTCAGATACTTTTTCTTCATGGTTGATGGACTGATTACATAATCTTTGTTTCCTTACTACTACTCCCTTTGTATTTGACTGAAGAAGCCTACTGTGTAGGCGAAACGTTTCAACAATAAAGATGCCCAACTGTTGCACATGTGTCTTATTCTTCAGAACTGTTGTCGTGTGGGAGTGCGACGCGCCTTACCTTTTATCTTTTTTGGGTTCAAAGGGTTATCTTCCCCATGGCCTGGTCTCAGACCAGGTCTCCTGGGTTGAAAGGAAATATTTGAGATATTAGGAACATAGAAAAGTAAAGGTGAGTATATACTGAATTTAAGTAGAGGGAATATGCAGGCAGTTGGTAAAGTCACTTCCATAACAACGTACTGGAGTGAGGAATACCTGGAGGAAACTTAGAATAAAGCAGTGAAAATCAGAGGCGCCTTGGGCACAATTAGAAAGCACTGTCAACATCCGTGTGGAAGAGTATCTAATTTGTAAACACCAGATATTGCCAGAACAAGGGTAGACGTTTTCGAGAGGAAACTGCGGGGAGACCCGGTACCTGGAAGAAGTGTCAGATGAGCCAAGCTGTGATCAGTGAGGAAATGGTATGGTGATACCGACAAGAAGCCACTCGTGGCGAAACATCTCCTCTAATAAATGTCCTGAACTGTACATAAGTGTCTTTTTGCACAAGCTGTGATCGTTGTGCACCCCTGCAGGCAAGTACCTTGTGGGCTCCACCTCTGCACTGGTGAAGCTGACTCACTGATGATGAAAAAGACGCAGTTGCAGAGAGGAACTTTGGAAAAATAAACACAGGAGCAGTATAATGTGATCCTTTACTGACGTTTCGCCCACACAGTGGGCTTTATCAAGTCACAAACAGTTGTGACTTGATAAAGCCCACTGCGTGGGCGAAACGTTGTCAATAAAGGATCACATTATACTGCTTAAGTGTTTATATTTCCATTGTGTCGGTATTCTATACCATTTATTTCCAGAGAGGAATTTTATTGAGACGTTTCGCCTGTGGAACAGACTTCTTCAGTCATTGACTGAGAAAACCTTCCACAGGCGAAACGTCGTATTGAAGTTTGTCTCTGAAATTGTATTTTTTCACCACAAGGCGGCTTTCTGCCGTTTTTCTTAAACTCGTTGACTGACATTTGGGTTCTGTCGTATTTATTTTTGTACTCATATACTGAGTTGGTCCCTGCTGACATAATACATTCAACTTTTTCAACTCTCCTGACATGGAAGAAATTGTTCCTCGTGTCCCTTTGGTCCGATTAAACTCATATTTTCTCTTTGTGCCAACTCGTCCTGGCTCCTTGCAACTCAAATATTTTCTTAATTTTTATTGTTGTCATACCTGGGTATTGCAAAGACACAGGCCAAAGTTTTTATTAAGACAATGTTTCTCTCAGAGAGAGCTTTACGAAAATTTTCCTTTGAGGAAACGTTGTCTTTAAGACTTGCTCTGTTTTGCTTGTCTTTGTTTTGCCCTTATTTGTGGGCATTGTGGCACCCAGGCGTGTTGTCGTACTTGGAGTGCGTCTTATAAGTTCCTTGTTAGGAACCAGCTCACACAGGTCTGGGATCAGATATTGTATCTAGAAGTAAATGTCCCCAAACAGTAAATAAGGAGCAGTCGTATCTCGACGGCCTGCATAGATTCCATATAGTTGTGGGACCAGCCCTCAGTGGTGGGACCGGCCCTCACAGTGGTGGGACCAGCCGTGTAAACCTCTGAACTTTATCGGGTTTCGTGATGCTTGACAGGTTGAGGGTTCCACGGTGGTGTACTCCGGTACTGGTTTTACGTATGTCGTGTAGAGTGAGATCACTGCCTCTTTGTTTACATTCCTGAATGTTTTGTTTACATTTGCAAGCGTAGCACGTGACATCGATGTTCTGATAATTTGCTCCTCGGTCGAAACGATTCGTGTTATGTTCACCTCTATGAATTCTCTCTCAGATTCTGTAGTTGCTTCCCTCTCATGTGGTACTCCCTGTGAGACCTCCCTATCGGTTGGTACTGTGTGACCTCCCTCTCAGTTGGTACTCTGTGACCTCCCTCTCAGGTGATACTCTTCCTTTGTTCTCCCTCTCATCTGATACTCTCTATCTGTCCTCCCACTTTCTTATCTCGTTATCATACCATAATATTTTCTGAGGTTGAATTCCGGCAACCATTTGTCGGATCATTCTTCTAGCTTGTTCTAACCTATCCGAGCGTGTGTGTGTGTGTGTGTGTGTTGTGTTCGTTCATTCGAGCGTGCGCGTGTTCTGTCTTACGGTCTTGTGGGCGTATACGCGCGAGCGTGCTTGCCTGTGGGCGTGTGTGGGCGGAGATGCTCGAGGTGTGACAAGTGGGTGGAGATCAGGAAGATAAGGTTCACTGGAGTGTCTTGTGTGTGTGTGTGTGTGTGTGTGTGTGTGTGTGTGTGTGTGTGTGTGTGTGTGTGTGTACTCACCTAATTCACCTAATTGTGGTTGCAGGGGTCGAGACTCAGCTCCTGGCCCCGCCTCTTCACTGTGTGTGTGTGTATGTGTGTGTGAGAGAGAGAGAGAGAGGGGGGGGGGTAGAAGATGCTCTTTTTGGTAAACAAATGAGTAAGAAAGGTGTCAGCTGTCGTAGGGACGGAGGGAAGGTGTGATCCAAAGGTTATATTTAAGTCTGAGGGAGGGAAGGAGGTTAGGAGGAAACCCTTGGTATCACAGACGAGTGTCACAGACGGGTGTCACAGACGGGTGTCACAGACGGGTGTCACAGACGGGTGTCACAGACGGGTGTCACACACTGCAAGAACCGACACCGTTAAGGGAAAGAGACTTACTACCGTGATTACCTGCATGATAAGATATTGGTGGGTGGGGTGGGCCACAGTGGGGAACCACGGTGTACACTGGTGAAGGGTGGGTGGTTCCCCAGGATGGGTAGTGTTGGAGGGTGGGTGGTACGCCAGGATGGGTGGTACTAGAGGTGGGTAATACATCAAGTGTGTTGCCCAGGTGTGTAGGCCAAGTATGCTAGTTCAAGAGGGAAGATGGAGTACCTGCCTCCCTAAATTAAATTATTATTATTATTCGTGATTATGGGAAAACGAAAAGCCCACAAGGGTCATAAAACTCCTGAGGAATTATATGGGTGAGGGTAATCAGGTTTGATCTCTTCGAGGTGAATCAACATCACATAGAACTCCCGCCTCCAGGTCCAAGGCGTCACTGGAAATACACTTGAAATAAACCGAGATACCAAAACTTATTGAGCTTAACAAAATGTGTAAATAAGGTGTCATATGTGATCGAATCCAAGTTAGCCTGGTGGTCTACCTGTGACTTATGTGTGTGACTGGTTTCGAGGGTGGTTCTACTTTTGCAAGTCGGCCTGAGGCTACCCATTCTCTTCGAAAAACTTTAAACGAACACACAGTACATAATGCAGTCATTTTATGTAATGAAATTGAGATGTAAAAAACTAGGAATAATCGTGTTAAATGGTCTGTCGTTCAAAGATTAGTAAAGATCTGGAAAAGGATAGGGTGGATTATGAGAACTTTGAAAACAAGAGAAGTCACGTCAGTCAAGGTACTGTTCAAATCGCTCTGATCTCACTTCTGGAATATTCTTCACTTCTCACACATCCGCTCAAGGCAAGAGAGATCACATGCCTGGAAAATGTTGAGAAATCGTTTACTGCTCTCATAGAGTCATTAAATCATCTAAACTACTGGGAGCACCTCACCGCCCTTAGAATGCATTGTTTAGAATGGAGAGAGAGAGAGAGAGAGAGAGAGAGAGAGAGAGAGAGAGAGAGAGAGAGAGAGAGAGAGAGAGAGAGAGAGAGAGAGAGAGAGAGAGAGGGAGGGAGGGAGGGGGGGGGCTGATAATATACAAGTATACATGTAAGATTCTTCAGGATGAGGTCCCAGTCTACACACATCCATGACGGTAAACGAGTCATTAATCTTTACCAGGAGATATACGAAATGTTGCCCGAATATTGGTAGACATTCAAGTTAAAAGTCGACCACTACCTGCAATAAGTGAAAGATCTACCAGGTTGTGATGGTGTTGTGGGCGTGCTGGCAACAAGGTTCAGGCTGGGAAAGTTGAGGAACACTGGAAGTCTTTCACGGGTAAGATAGAGTGAAGGTAAAGAGGATACACCTAGGACAGGCACAGGCCTCTGGTGTTATATTCGCCTGTATTCTACTGAAGAAATCTGTTGCGCAAGCTGAACGTTTCGGTAGTAAAGATACCCAAGTGTTGCACGTGTCTTATTCATCAGTTTGTCGGTATTGTATACCATAAGTGATACCTAGAAGAGGGCTATAGAACAAGTATGGTGATAGCCACTGTACGTAGATGAGTTCCCATATATCATTATCTACTCAGAACATCTCCCAGCTTTTATGAGAGACAAACCACGGAACGGGTGGGATTTGAACCCTTGGTAAGTGAGTTCTAAAACTCCATGCCAGTGCGTGGTTTCTTTGCAGTCGTGTTAATGCGATTTCGTAATAACACGAGAGACGTAAGGCTACCGTGAGCCGTAGCTTGCTGACTGTAAATCATAGGTTAATGTAACACCCACTCAACCGTTACCACCCACTGTAACCTGTCTTCACGCCCACACATTGCTGCCACTGTATTTCTTGACAAGCCTGGCCCATGGTCGGACTCCGGGAGTAGA